ACAGTGTACTAGATATAGTTTTACTATTAAATGTTTCTATTTAGTGCACAGTGTTAGTCATCAAATTTTTATTTGTAACTTTCAAAGGAGTGTTAAAGGAAGTGTTGGACAGTTCCTGTCCTCAGCCAGGGAGAAACTGTAAGCGATGAAGCCTTCATTCTTTGATTCATTCAACCTTAATTTGAGTGTCCAGGCAGTGGGGATATGGTGGCGAATAAGGTATGAATAAGCAAAGTGTAAAATTCAGTGCTCTTGTGTTTGACAGTAAAAATTTGAGAAAAGAACTGGGTGAGCCAAGTACCCAAAGGCATAGTAGGAATTAAGGCAGAGAAACGTGGGTTGTAGTTTTGGGGAAGAATTTCGGAAAGTTTCATGGAACTGGGCCTTAAAAGGTAAGAAAGGGCTAGGGGCTAGCAGAAGGCCTGGCAGGTGTATGAGGTGAGGAATTTCTAAAGACAGGAGCAGGGAGGAACCAGAAGCCTACAGGAGGGCGCTCCAGAAGGAACACATGCTCAGTATACACAGTTTCACATGCGTATTTGCTTTGTTAAGTAAGAGAACAGACCTCAGGCCTGGTGCCCTAAGTCATAGTCTCTGTCTGCCTCTAACCAACTCTGACTTTGTGCAGGTCACTTCATTTCTCTGTACCTTTAGTAAGGCACTTAAAAATCCACCTGGTATCAGGACAGTCCTCAAAGTCTAACTTGTCAGAGCCCCTTCCACCCCTGCATGACCTGCCCCTATCACTTGCTTCATCAAGACAAGGCTTTGCCAGCTTTGGAAGTCCCTGTGTCTGCTTGGGCTGGTGGGGGTCCCTGTGGCCCCCTGGGCCATGTGCCTGGTCTCTTAGCACCATGCCCCTGCTCCCAGATTGGCCCACTACCTTTAGGGGCACATGTGGAATAGTTCCCAAGCCTTCTTGCGTTTAATGTAACTCTTGGAGCCCCCCAGCCTTTAGATGTGGTCTACGTCTCCCTTGGAATATCATCTGGGCTCCCATTTCTAGAGGATTCTAGCTCCGTTCTGTCCTGCCAATCGCATTCTGTTTTTATATCAACACAGTCTCCTACTAGTTCTCCATCCCATGTTCTCTTGCTTGAATATGATCACAAACTAATAGACCAAAACATACATTGCTTTATGGTGACACTAAGAAATTGTCTTCTTCAATTATGGTAGAGTTGTTTCTCGTTTGTCTTTTTGCATCAGGTAGGATCTTAAATAAATGGCAGTGCCTGGAGCTTGGAAACAATTTGAGTCGTTCACCCAACAAACATTAAGAACTCTATGTGATCGGTTGCTGTTAGCCAGTCAGAACCAGGAGGAAAGTACTGCTCCCTCCCTCCTGCTCCCGCTCTGGAAGGGGAAACAGGGCCTAGAGAATGTGAGAGGAGAACCCTAAAGGGCACTGTGGGAGTGGCAGGAGCACCTTTTATTGTAATAGGATTTGTGTCAATGGGGATATTTGTTATTTAAAAGACTATACATAATACACAAATAGATTATGTGTAATATCAGTGGTTTTGAGGTGGCTCGGAAATCCCCCTTGGGCTGAAAGGATCAGATGCACTTCTTCC